ATCAACAACTTTTGGGTGTACGCCGTGTGGTCTGCACCGCATACCCTTACGTTACCCCAAGGGGCACTCATGTTAGGAAAGCTACCTTTCCAGCGTTGGATGAGTAACCGCCGAGGGCTCTTGCGAGACACCTCTCCCACACATCTAGCTTGAAATCGGCCAACGCCTGTTGCCCGCAGATGCGGGATAGGGTGGTTGACCGATAACTTTACTGGGTGAGTGCCGTGTGGTCTGCACCGGGGGACTGTCAAACGCCCATAAGAGAGAGACAGTGATCCCACGCCACTCACCCCCGTAATTTAAAGTTCCTAAAAACCTTTTCAAATCTTCTTTATTTTTAGGCGATTCCATTTCAGTTATGGCTCTCACTTTATCTGGATCTACTTTGAAACCGTTTTCGCTAATAATATTCCCGATGTATTTTACTGACACAATATTGAAACTTTTCTTTATTGAAAGTAATATTGTGACGACTGGCCGTTTCAAAAACCTCATGAAGATTTCGATCATGTTCATCTTTTGTTTCCCCAGATATTATTAAGTCATCAAAAATGTTCATTACTCCCTGAATTCCCACAAATATTTGTTTAATCTTTTTTTGAAATACCTCTGGAGCTGATTTGATACCAAAAGGCATTCTCAAAAATTTGTGCCTCCCGAATGGAGTATTGAACACACAATCAGAACTAGGTTTGTCTAATGCTATTTGCCAAAATCCTGAACTCATGTCAATAACAGAACAATATTTTTTACCATTCATAGTTGCAATTACATCTTCCTGAGTAGGTATTAAATAATGTTCCCTTTTCATAGCTTTATTGAGATCTTTTGGATCAAGGCATAATCTAAAAGATCCATTCTTTTTTTCTACTATTACCAAACTATTAACCCAGTCTGTTGCTTAATCAACCTTCGACACAACACCTATATTTTCAAGTTCATTTAATTCTTCTTTTAGTTTGGACCTTAAAGTGAATGGTACTTTTCTATAAGCATGAACTACCGGAGTCACATTTGTATCTAATTCAATATGATATTCACCTTCTATTTTTCACAGACATGTAAAAATAGACGTATAATTTTCTATCAATTTATCAATTTCACAGTTTTCAGTTACATTATCCACTCGTTCAAGAATATTCAGTTTAATACAGCCTTCCAGAGCCTTAGTTTTGAAATCACCATAACTAACTAAAATCGCATTTGCTGACTGTACATTAAGCTTTAAATCATCTTGTTTCAACTGTTTCAACTGTTTTAACACACTTTGTGGCAATAAATTCACCTCACTTCCCGAATCTATTTTGAAATTAATATTATGTTTTCCAATTTGAATACCAGGCTTTGGTTATTTCATTAATTACAATCTCGGAAATGAAAAATTCATCATTGGAATCCTCGATTCAAATTTCTTTAATTTTTTTTAAATTATCAGTCTGATTGTGGGAAATTTAAAAAAAAAACAACAATTCTCAAAGTGATTTTTACCTTTACAACAATTACAAAATTTTCCAAATGCAGGACAACTTCTAAAACTATGATACCTGTTACATTTTGAACAATGATTTGTTTTGTACTTATATTCATGCGCAGTATGACAACCTTTCGATGAATTGCCATTGATTTAGTTTTTGTGGTTAACTGGATTTGTTCTACCTTTGGCAAATCCTGCAAAACCCTTGCCTGTTCTTCACTAAGCTCCTGTATTACACAAAGGTCTATTGCTTCTGATAATGAAATGTCATTTGTCTTCAATAAAGCCTTTTGCGTCTTTTTCTCGAAAATTCCGCAAACAATCCTATCTCTTATCTCTCTCTGGTTCTGAAACTGCCAAATTCGCAAGTTGCAGCTCGCATTTTCAATTTCAACAAGAAAGATTCAAACGGCTCACCGTTATGTTGCTGAACTGCAAAAAAATTGAATCTTTCAATCGTCAGGTTCTTCTTGTTCAAATTCACCCAAGATCACATCAAAGTTAGTTTCGTCTTCCTTTTTCTCATATTCAAATGTCTGTTTCACTTCTATAGCATCTTCTCCAATCAAATTTAGAAGTATATTGATCTTCCTTTTCTCATATTCAAATGTCTGTTTCACTTCTATATCATCTTCTCCAATCAAATTTAGAAGTATATTGATCTTCCTTTTATCTGTTGCGCCATCCAATCCAGCTGCACTCATATAAATTTCAAAACAACTTTTCCATTTTGGTCATTCGGTGCCGGCATTTCCTTTCAATTTTAATAGTGGAGGATTATTGAAACCTTCTGTCATTTTGACTTTACTCAAATAATTATTCAACTTAGTTTCTAACTTTACTCTATTTTATTTTCGAATCACACTTCTTGGTATTTTACCGCTGCCAAATTATAATTTACATTTGACGTGTATCGATATTTTTTTTCAATATGTACAGTAACCGAAATAATGAATTTATTCCATTTGGCTTTTACACACTGTATAGGTAAAATGGTTTTTATCAGTTGCTCCGTTCGCGTGACAGAATAAGTATAATTAATTCACCTGCGTAGGGCCCGATTTTGAGGGTATATTCATGAGTTTATCTGAATAAAAGTAGTCTATGCTACTTCAAAATGATGTAATTTTCTGATAGTGATAGAATTATCGAAATGAGTTAGACTTAATCTGACGTAAAAAGTAAAATTAATGGACTGGGTACAAAACAATTTCCTGTCCGCAGGTTTGCAACTTTTTATTGAAACAAAGAAAGGCTCGACATTGAGAAACATCGTATCAATGAAAGGTTTTGAATCTAGCCAATATGTTAATAAGGAAACGGTGATTTGGAGTCAATATTTATAATAAACGGCTAACCATTCCAAAACAATATAGTTTTTCACATAAAGGTTTTTTTTGTGTTTAGATATAATTAATTCTCTGTTAATCATTAGTGTATATTGAGTTAAGGTCACTGTTATAAACATTCAAGTTTATCAAGAAACGTCAGTTGTGAATTTAAATGAGAGTACCTATGAATACCAGTTCAACTCTGTGTGAAAGAAAACGTTCTTGTACAAAACCCTAGACATATGCAACCAACCATACAAAACACAGTATTGTATGTTGCCTGTTTCAAGTGGGTGAACCGACTTTAATAGATTGAATGTTTTATCAGATATATTCAATTCAACCTTGCGAAGATGGATTTTTTTTATATGAGAGCCAGGTGTCCCACAACTTATCTAAGCCTAGTTGACAAACAAGCATGCACTCAAGTCTCTTGAGTTGAACCTTCATTTGAAATTAGTATTGTATATCAATATAGTAATAACAGTATAGCTCTGACTCTGAAATTCATATAGTTAGCTCTAAAAACGTGATAATATTCGAACTTTTCATTAATATGGTAAAATAGTCATGATTTTTAATTTTTTCAAATACCTACTTTTGTAACCATTCAACTGACAGAAAAATATTGGTCAGAAAATTTACGTGAAAAAGAAAACAAATCCGAACTACCTACAAAGAATACATGGAAAGAGATAAAATCATTATTATAATTCATCTGGAGAGTAGGCATTTTTTATAAATTGCTGACAGAGATGGCTCTACTAGAAAAAGTTGATGAATTTTAGGAAGTTTCAGTTTTTTGAAAGTCATTCTACCTCCTCTCAGCTAATTTAGGCAATTATTCTACTGTAAATTGTTGTATACTGAAAAACATTCATGGCAAGAGCGGCATTGATGTGGATGATAATGAAATGATATTATTATATATACAGTGCATTCTATTCAAAACGAGCCATCCTGAATAACTATTGGTACAATGATTTGCAGGAAAAATAAAAATTACATCAACCATAGTATACAGGGGGACACATTTTGACATATTCACATTTGATGTTACTTCCCATATCGCACCTCGAGAGCATGTCACTAATTTTTTTAAAAATGGATCACCTTATATTATTTTGCATTATCAGATGCTCCATGATGAGCAGATTTCAACATAGTATAAAACATATGGTCTGAAGCTCATGGTTCGGGAGCTAAACATTTACTTGAGTTGAAAACGAGCCACCTTGAATAATTTTTGGAACAATGATTTCCAGGAAAAATAAAAAAACACCTAATCAATAGTATACGGGGGGACACATTTTGACATATTCACATTTGATCTAACTTTCCCTATCGCCCCCCAGAGCATGTTTCCTTTTTTTTTTAATAGATCAATTGTTTTGCATTATCAGATGTTCCATGATGAACAGATTTCAACAAAATTATTTGAGTTGAAAACGAGCCACCCTGAATGAACTTCTTTACAATATGTTTCCTATATGTTTTTCATAGGTGTTTTTGTGAAGTATACTTCAAAAAAGTTTTATTTTGCCTAGTTAAGTTTGAGTTCGATATTCTCTTCATTTTGTATTTGTCTCATTCTACAATAACCTTTACCTACCAGGTGAAGTTACAATTGGTGCTTCTGTGAATTCTTGGGAAGCAATGGTTTATACGCTTCGAGAACGGATTGAAAGAGTCAGTTTGTACTACCAGAATGGAAATAGTGCTAGATCTGCTGCCCGTATGTTCAATGATAATCATCCAGGTAGAAATGTACGACACAAATACGTTTCGGAATTGTTGAACAAATTTACAGAAACTGGATCTGTCAACAATAAAAAGCATAACCGTTCAGGAGTTGTCAACGATGAAGCTATTTGTACTGCAGTTTTAGGGCACGTTGGACTAATGGAAAATTCTCAATCTCTTACTAAGTTATCTCAAGAATCAGAAATCAGTCGTACAGATGTTTTCAGGATCCTTGATAAGTACAAATTTCATCTATATAAAATTAGACTAGTTCATGAATTGAACGAAGGTGATTTCGATAGACGTATTGAGTTTTGTAAAAGTCTGAACGGATCAACTTGCATCACAATTTCTTCTATAAAATTTGTTTTTCGGATGAATGTACAGTTAGTTTGAATGGAGAAGTGAATCGGCAAAATTGTCGATATTGAATTGATACGAATCCTCCTTAAAAACTGAATAATTGGGCAGGGATTTTAGGTGACCGCATCATAGGACCTTTTTTTATCGATGATAATACCGTGCATCAATAGGGCAATTGAGGAGGATATAAATTTATTCGAAAACGAAATAATTTTTCAGCAGGTTGGTGCACCTCTTCATTATGCAGCTCGATTGCGTCGATTTTTGGATGATCATTTTCCTGGTCACTGGATTGGCAGAAGAGGTCCTACGGAATGGCCACCAAGGTCTCCGGGTCTCACTCCTATAGATTTCTTTCTATGAGGTCATTTGATGTCTGAAGTTGAAGTGTATGAGATAGAATCAACAGCGTTAGAAGATTAGAGAGAGGAATTGCAGAGAAATAACACCTGAGATTCTCAACCATGTGAGGGCGGCAACGAAAGCTCGTTTGTACCATTGTATGGTAGTTGGTGGAAACGTTTTTGAACATTTACTGAAGACATTTTTTTCTTCTCAATATCCAGTCATCAGATTTTGACTCAAGAATTAATAAAAATGTGGATGAAATGTGAATATGAAAATGTGTCCCCCTGTATACTATTGTTGACATGTTTTTTATTTTCCTGAAAATCATTGTACCAGAAGTTATTCAAGGAGGCTCGTTTCAAATGGAATGACATTGTTATAATGTTATAGGAGAAAAAAACATATTTTTTTCTCACCTGAAGAGTATTACAACTAGTTGTCTGCTTCATCTGTTTTTCGTATTCCTCTCTTGGGGAATGGTTTAAACTGTTGGATGAAGGTGGCCTCCAAGTGATTTCAGATGCTATCCTTTTGATCTTGTTATTTTTGCTTGGGCTTCTGATCGCCTTATTGACGTCGATTATTGTTTCCGAAAGTCTTCTCTGAATCGCAGGTCTTGTGAAAAATCCCAAGGGAGTTAATGACGGACGCCTGCTACCACAAGTAGAAGGCGTTCTCGCTTGAATCTCTTGATTGACTTCACTCTTCGTCTGTTTCTTTCTCCAGTAATTTTGGAATGTTTTCCTGAGTGCTCTACTCTTGATTCCGTATAGAAACCCATTAACTGGCAGTGTTGAAATGAGTAAAAAAGAAGCTAACGTGTAGAAGTTTGAATGCAGTTTTCCATCAGTCATTTTCATACTTAGACTGAAAAAAAACCGCTTTGAATGTTTTGTGATCTTCGAATGAAAATATCGTTACCTGTTATTGTGAATTGCACCGATAGTTGCCTCCCACAATATAATGATATAATATGGTAGGTAAAGCAACAGAAAGGAACCTACTAACTGAAAAACAGAGTAGATGGCGCTACGTCCGCGAAATTTCGGACCACCTGAAGATGGCGCCGTAACGGTGGGGACGAAAAATGGATTCCTTTGGTGGGTGATGGTTACTTGAGCTGAAAGAGTGACCTCGTAAATGGCTGATGCGATCCGATGTCTATGGTAACGGGCTATCATGAAAATCTGCAAAAGTAAAAAAAAGCTTTCATTTTGAGACTAGGCACTTTAAGTTATTTCTGATTGGAGAAATATGGGAATATTCGGCTTGAATTTCACGATAAAATGCTAAAAATGATACTATTCAATACAATGGTGAAACATCAGTTTTTGAACAACCACACTACTCGGGAAAACTTTTGGCTTTCCACTTCATAATCTTTGTANTCTATTTAAATCATTAGGGTTGCCGTCGAATTCAGGCACACACCTAAGGTATTCTGAGTTGAATTGATTAGCCATTATTATATTTGAACTACTAGAAGAATTAGGCAAAGAAACTGAAGAGTCAGCTGAAGGGTTTTCGTTATTCAAATTTAACTTTCCAAGAATTTGAGATAAGTTATCAATAGACATTTAAAAATTACGACTTACATTAAAATTGTAAGAACTTTGAGCATCCTTTATAAGGTAGACGACTGGTTCCTCGATTTTTGATTTCCAGAAAGACTTCCTTGCGAGACTGGACGATTCTGTTCCACTCCCCGATGATCTGCCTGTTGAGGGTAGCTAAAGGTCCACGATGGATTGGGTTTCTTGAGGTTTGAAGAGCCACTCCTTCACAAACACCTCCACAAGACAAAACAACAAGTTCGATACCCGATAAATCGTTGAAACGAAAACTGCACGTTCGATACGTTCAATTTCGAGTATCCTACCGACTGCGCCAAATATAACTTTCGGATGTCAAAGTCCTTTTTTAAAAATTAATTTTATTAACAGAAATTGATGTTAACAGTATGAGAGCAAAATTATAACTGAATTACAAAAGTATTCTTCCCATGAAGATAAGAATGTTTGCACATCAGTTTCCCAGAATCGCGAGATTCTGCTTCAGCATGGTCAGCGGTTCACATGGGAACGGGCGATATAATTCCTGTGACAATATACATTAGTTCTCAATGATATATTTCTTTTTTGACGAAACTGGATTTCATTCCAGTTTCTGCACACCATGTTCCTTTTGAGTTGGACTAGCTGTACCCGAAGACGGATTTTTCCACCTGTCGCTTATACGTTATACGATTGTATGATTTGCTAACATAAATCCTTACGTTTTGAAGAAGTAGTCCATCTTGGAGTTCCGTGGCGGCAGTGGTAGAGGGAGGATGTGCTGATAACGTCCGCCCACAAAGAAGGTACGCGGATGTCATGTGCTATCGTGGGGCTCCCCTTTGTGTTGTGTTAGTCCATTGTGTTAATAACTGAAATGTGTAACTGTTTTTTTTAAAGTGACCAATAAAGGGCCCCCTTTATTCACGCCGGTATCCAGGCCGGGTGGTTCGGATAACCACGTAAAGGGGGCTGTATATGTAGAAAAAACCAAAAGGTCTACCAAGCAGGAGACGACTTCATACCAATCGATGATGTGGTATGTAAAAAAATCAAGAGCATTACCCGTCAAAGTTTTTATAGTTGTCGACCAAATTAAAGTGATCACGGATTCTTTTTTTCAAGGATCTACTGGTCTGGCCCACGTAGACTGCAGAACAATTGGGGGATAGCATATAAGTTGATTAACTTCAGATTTCTCTAGGAAATAAATTTTGTCTGCGTTTATGACAAATCTGTCTTCCATATAATTATCGCTGGAGAAAGAAATCGTGAGGTTGCTATTGAATCTGTTGAGAATATTTTTTAGATCATTAGATATTGAGAAAAGATCAATCCAAACCGTAAGAATGGATTTAGGGATGTGATGTTTCTATTGCGGGATTTGATAAAAATTGATGATACTGTTTCTCCATGACGTGATCTGCGAAACAGTTGCTGAACCCTATCCATCTGATAATATTATATTTTTGTGAGATCTTTGAAAATTCATAAGGATAGAAAAATCTAGAAAATTAGTAGTTGAAATCTATACATTTGTGTATGTTTGGATAACAATCAAAAGGAATCACTGTATCCGTATTAGAAGATTTTTTGTGGATATAAAAGTTTAAATATTTATTCTGCTTTGTGGTGAGTAAATCTAAAAAGGGTTTATAAGCAGTTGTTTTTTCTCTTTCCATAATGAAAATTTTAGAATGATCTACATGTTGGTGCATATTCGAGAGATGATCAAAACTCCTGATGGTGCTAACTTGGTTAGCGAAACGTGGTTAAGAAAAATAGTTTAAATCATTATCACTAATAGATTCAATGAATTTTCTATTATGATAAATCTTCGAACCACTATCCAGCCTCAGTTGATATGTTCTATCTCTCAACTTATTTGAAACCACACCTGGGGTCCAAGGTATCTACTATTTGGTTTCCATTCAATGTAACCTCTTGTTTCTTATTTAATGCAGGTACTATCTTGCCCCTCTTCTATTGTAATTTTCTTGTTGGTGAACTTGCTTATGGTTTATCACTTTCTTATAATTATCATCAAAAAGTTGGATTCAGTGAATCAGATGTGCAAGGTGAATTGATCGGAGTTATCTAGAGATGAGAAGTGGTGCTGGTGATATATTTTCGTCAATGGGAGCATTGTATGTAATGAAGCAAGGTGAATATCTTTCTTTTCTACGATTACCTTTTTAAAAAATTCTTTACAGTTGCCATACTGCTATACTGTTCCACTGCGCATGATTAAGAAAAGTTATTACATGATTGAAGTGCCATTCTTTTGCAGAATTCATAAACTGTGTCGAGGTACATTGAGGTCCTCCGTCAGAAACTATTACAAGTATAAGGGGAATGCCGAAAAGAGCACACCTTTTTATGATATGTATGTTGTGCATTTCTTGATCCCCAATGTATTTCTTTAATGTCCCTCCTTTTATTTTTTGAACGGGTCGACTCAAAAAATCGAAATTTGGTATAATGAAATTAATGCATGAATACTTTATTTTGAAGTGAAACTTTCAAGATGGCGACTGGGCGCCATCGGAAAAAAATTAATTGGAAAGGGGGGTCTTGTGATACATCTTTTTGAAGCTCCTGACAAATGCTTCACAACTCTAGAATATACACAACTCTAGAATATCTTTAACTCCTACAAAATGATGAAAATTTTAATAATTGCCTGAATACATTGCCTGAATAATATGAGCTTGAGGTCAGTTCAGAAGATGCTAGAAATGGTTGCCTTGAACTTCTTGACATATTAATAGCCTATCCAATATTTCACGCCAAACATTTTCGAATACAGTAACGTCAATATTTCTACAAATATTCATTATTCTCTGCCGTGTATCCAATATTGAAGCGGGTTAAGTTCCGTACGTAAGCTTCAAATAGCTCCAGAAAAAAATCCAAATGTGTCAAATTCAGGCGAGCTAGCTATCCAGTCTGTAGGACCTCGACGTCCAATCCAACGACCGGAAAAAGTAGTTTCCAAATAGTTTCTTACTTGTCTGGAGTAATGTGGTGGTGCTCCATCTTGTTGGATTACAATATCCATATCGAATTCATTAGGATTCACTTCGATGATTTTAGTGATGGTGGGTCAAATTCAAATACAGTTTCCCTGTTAAATTTTGATCAATAAATAGAGGTCCTACAATATGGTTTCCCAATATTTCTGCCCAAACGTTAATTTTTTCTGGATATTGGGTATGTGTTTCCCGGAAAACGTGAGGGTTGGTGTCACTCCAATAACGGCAATTTGATTTCGCAGAATTTTGTTCTTCGATCAGGGTCATCTTCAGTTGATTGGTGTACCATTTTAATTCTGTATGGATGATACCTATTCCTCTTCAAAAGTCTCCACACAGTAGAAGGAGACACCTCACAACATTCGCGACGGAATAAGTAGACTGTTCAAGATTTACTACCATCTCACCAATTATTTGCACTTGCTGTTCTTCCGGAATGGACGGATGACCTGGGGGCCTTTTGTTATGTACACTACCGGTAGTTGTGAATTTGGATACAAGTTCCCTCAAATATTTTCTACCGATAGGACGATTCGAAAAACGGTCATTGAAAATCCTTTCGGTCTCGTGAAAGTTACGCGTCGCACCGTAAATAAAAATCGCTTAAATTTTTTTTTCCAATAGACGAGAATTGACCTTTTTAGAGATAGTAGTCAAACCGAAAACTAAATGAGAATATTGTAATGGAACAATGATGTTCATTGTCGTACTGACATTTTTTGACGTTTTTATAAACAAAAAATAACTCAACAAACCTTATCGGATTGTTAGAATTGCCGTATGTCAGATAAAAAAGAATATTTTTAGAAATATCCTAATGTGTTTGTCTTCAGGACATAATTGAATGTTCCGCCATTCTGTAGTAGATGAAGATATTGATTTCATATTCTAGGGTTGTGAAGTATTCGTATGGAGCTTCGAAATGATGTGTCACAAGACCCCCTTTCTATTTAATTTTTTTTCACGGCAAAATCCGAAAACCAACTAAAACATTGACGTTAGCCGTGAACGCCTACATTCCTGATTTTCTTTTTAAATATTTTTGAGATTGTAACAAAATACGTAGTAACCTGGCGGGACATTTACTTTTTTTTAAAGGTTAGTGGTCAGTTTCAACAGTTATACTTTTCCTAAAGACATACTGCTTGATGAAACTGCTTAATCAAAACTTTTATTTTCATAAAAGACGAGTGTAACTATGAGGCTACAATAACTTTTACAACTTCATTCAAAATATTTAACAACTGAACTCTATAAAATATACTTAATCGCTTTTGTTACTAAAAGTCTCCTTTGATCCCCGGATCAAAGGAGCCCGGTTCTCAGGGCTGCAAACAAAAACATATAATGACTTTTTCTCAAGTAAAACGAATGAGCAAATGCGTTCTTTCTGGTAACGAAAAGATTATTATTCTCAATGTACATGACGCTCTTATTCACCAAATTTCTCGTATACCGTTGATACTCTGATGGAAATGTGTTCGCAAATGAAAGATAAAGGCGTGGAATTACCAAAACCATTTTTAGTAAAAAAAACTGTACCTGTATGAATACAGGTCAGGTAATGAATACATTCATTCCATTTTAAGGAAGAAATAC